TTCTTGTACTAGGAGAAGAAATAGATAACTGATTTTTAGGCAAGAAGCTCTAATCAGTCTAGCTCCATGTAACTTCTATTTTCTCCCCTGCAAAATAAGAGTAGGGAAGTAGAGAGTAAGCTGAAATAGCTGACTTGTGAATAGAAATTAAGGCAGACGTGTTATCTCCAGCAGAGGTATACTGAGTAACCTTGAAGAAGGTATCTCATATCCAAGCTGAGAGATACAATTTTTGTTCCTAAAGTATACACTTCTTACACAAGTGGTTGACAGATGTGACTGACATTTTTGTTGCATGTTTGACTGATCTGCCTCTGTAGGTCTTTGTCCAGTCTTCTGAAGTTTGACTGTGGTCTGTGATCTCTGTTGCAGAGGGTATATAGGTATTTCTTTGGTTAAGCCCTTCCAAGACTTTTGCTTTCAATGGAAAGCTCAAATAGGTAATAAAATGTTACCTATGCTAATTCTATAGTCTGTTAAATATAAATTACCTGCAAATTTGTCCATTAATTTGCATAAATAGCTTTATGATATGCTATGCAGAGTCATAGATTTGAACTTTTTCAACAGAAATAATATTTTGAACCGAGGCAGTCTCGGTCATCTTAATTTAATTGAATTTATTATGACTTCTCAGTTTCCTATTTGCATTTTAGGTGAAGAGATAAAACCATATTACCATCCCAAAACTGCTGAAGAGTATATGAAATGTCTCAGATCATTACTTACTATTAAGAGGTCAAAGTTTGCTATGTTTAATACCTGAAAGACAAAGATAAGGAGTTTCTGAACATTTCAAGAAGAGTAGTCCTAGGTCTTTTAATTAAATCGGTCTGCAGTGGGTATATGCTCCAGAAGCTGCCTGGGAGGGCTTCCACAGGTTAGGAACTGAACTAACTTAATTTATATGGAGGCAAAGAAAGGCAGTGAAGCAGCAGAGAACTCTGTGAAACCAATTGGCAGCAAGCCATCTGTTAAGCAACCACAACTACGTCAAAGATATCTAAAAATATATCAGTTTGTTTGGGAACATAATGCCCTAACTCCAATAAAAAGGCACTTTGAAAACAATCAAAAATGTGGTTTAGAATAAATTGCATTTATTCATATAGCAATGAAATATAAGAAGAACTGCTCTCATAGGCATCGTCAGTAAGTCCTGAATAGTTCCGTGAAATAATCATTTAGTTGTTAGTCTCTACTTCTCCTTTCTGGAGTAGAAACTACTGTTTTATTTCAGTCCCATTGGCTCTCCCTGGTTCCCCCACAGCCTGACACTGCTATCATGTCCTGTCTTCCTTTTTGCTTCTTCTGAGTTTCTCCCTCATTTATTGTCCATCCAAGCCACCCTGTGCAGTCTTATTTCCATCCCACTCGCTTCATTCACTTGCCCTCGCTCTACTCTCATCCCTGCCCTTCTGACAATCCCGCTGCTTGGACTTCCTCTCTGCAATTCTTCCTTTCTACTTAGGCTTCCTTCTTCCCACATTCCCTTCTCCCGTCTAAACTACAGACCTCTCCTTTCTTTGCAACCTTCAAACTGGCCTTGCTGCATTTGTGTCTCTCTCCTGAACTCTTGCCTTTATCTTCAAATGCTTCCACTGCTGTGGAACCCCTCTCTTCCACCTCCATCTTGTAGGCATCTGTCTTCTTTGCACTGTCACCTTATGTGGGAGAAACTGGGGACACCTCCTTGCTGACATTTTAGCAAATTTACTCCAGTATTGTCCACCTACTTTTTATATAGTCATCAGCCTCAGGTTTGAGAAGTCAGTGTACAGCTTTGGTCCTGATGAAGACATCAGTGTGACAACTCTGAATGAAATCTCATCGTTTTTCCTGCTTCTGGCCACATAGTAGTGTCGTCATTGCTGTTGTAAGAGAGCCAAGGGCAATAACCTTGATTTGTGATTCATTTTGTGCCAACGCTATGGCCCCCTGCAGCAGGCAAAAGCTGGCTGATGGTGAGACTACCAAGAAAAAATTGCCCATGGAACAAAATTTAACAATCTTAATCCAGCCTTTCAGCATACTGGTAAAACATGAAGGTGCTGAGTCACTAATTCTTTAATAGTTTGCATGCAGGTAGATGTTGGTACCAGGCAGTTAACTCCTGAGCTGGACACAGAAAATCTAGTTTTGCCATCTCTTTTCCACCCTTCCTTCAAACCTTAAAGAAGTATTAGAAAACCTGGCCAGCAGCACTTTGGTGCATTGTTAGTGAAACAGAGTTGTTACAGATAGACACAAAGTATCTGCAAATCACTGCAGCACCACTAATTTCATTCATATATGTATAGCTGATTAAGAGTGTCCTTCCCAGTGTGATGGTGATTTCAGTTCCTGTACACTGCACATTTTGAGTTGTGTTATTTGAGGACATCCCAAGACTGGACTTTCCAGTGGCTGATTTCAAGAGCAGATGTCACTGCAAAAGTTGTTTACTTAGCAGCAGCCTTTTTTGTCTATACCCATCCAGTCAGGCTGCAAATATGAAAACAGGAAGCATTCCTCTGTTTGTAGAAGTCTGCCTGCAGTAATAAACATAAGCATATATATTTTGAAACAGGTATTTTTAGAAACTTCTATTGAGGACTGTGCTGCTGTTTGGACTTTCTGCCCTTTCAGATTTTGTTGCTTAGTCCATACATTTTTAATAATCACATTGCCTGCTAGCAGTGACATTTTGTGAAGGTCATTTTTCTTGTGAAGTTGGAGAATGGACTTGAATTTCATTGAAGGACTCCCCAAGCTGCAGGATTGTTGTTTATGTAACTCTTTTGCATCTTGTACTACCTTTGAAGCCTGTTTAGAATTTTAACTAATGATATCTTCAAAGTGTCACTGTGCTCAAGGGCAAAAAAGAAATATCAAAATGCACAAAACCGGTTTTGAATAGCTTTGAAGCATGGTATTAGCTGAAATAAAAGGCATAGATACGGACTTACTATGTATGCACACACAGAGGATTCCATGTTTCACCAACTTTTTCATTGTCAGCAAAGTGTCCCTTCACCGTTGCAATGGCTTTTTGTTCTATACTATAAAAATCATTAGGTCTATGGCTAGTGTTAAGATTTGTTGATGTGATTGATAATTTAATACCTCAGCAGGTATCTTTAGGCAATCTCCCTCAGCAGAGACGTTTTAGTTTTGTCCACATCATTCCTAGCCTGCTTTTTCTCATTTCCCCTGTGTAGAAATACAGACACTGGGTGGTATTTATATGCCTTTTCTGTTTCTGCATAGAGGATGGCAGATACTAAAACCAACATGCTATGCTTGAAATAAAGGAGACTGTGGTGTCAGCTAGTGAATTAAAATTGCTTGGTTTTGTATAAACCAAAATTCATGCTTCCCACAATGGAGCATGCACCAAGTTTGCTTATTAATAAAAAATCTGAAGGTTTACTTGATAGCTGTGTCTGATATCTTCTGACACTGACATATTCCTTTAAAATATGTTAAATGTTAGTGACAATGTTTGAGAATATGGCCACTTGAATATCTGTACCGTTCAGGGAATTTTTTGTTTTTGTTTCATATATTGCTTCCTGTAAGTGTTTCAGCTGTATAGCTAGTATAGGACTCCTGGATCCTTCTCCTAGGGATGCCATTGGGTTAATTCTGTCGTTTTCCTTCTCTAGGACTTTGTTTTTCTATTTGTAAACTAGGAACTCACAGAAGTACAAGGATGTGATTTATAATTTAATCTTTCCCACAAAATAATTTGTCTGGTTTTCTTCCATTTTATTCTTTTGCTATATCAAACTGCCAAGGAAATCTAGCTTATTCAGAGTGTCCTTATATTTAAGATGTGCTTTTCTGTTTCTATTTTGATAGCTGTACCATCAAAGTGTTGTGGTTCGGCTGGATGTTTTACAATGGATTTCACAGTTTTATGAGCATTGCTAACATTTTAGTTGTGCCAAATAACTTAGAATCTTGTTTCAGAACATGAAACAAGATGATCCACTGAGCAGCAATTACTGTAAGGGAAATGAAGAGAGAGTAGGACTGTAACCTGCCTTTGAGGTGTTATGTCCTAACTAAAGTTAGAGGTTGGGAGACTGGACGGATTGTGTGTTTGGGAAAATTTGTATTAGGAAGTAAGGACAGAAGGTTGTGCATGTCCCAGAAAAATAATTTTCTATCTGATTCCCTGTGTAGAAAAAGGACTAAAAAGACAAAAATTTTCAGACTCTGCTTCCAGGCTTCTCGATGCCCACTGCATATGGACCGCTTGTGAATAAAAGCCACCAGCCTGTTTGGAACCGCTGTTTTGCTGACATGATCAAAAGGGAAGGCCTCAGCCTCTGGCCATTATCATTACCATTTTACTATTTGCCTGCCTGCCTGCTACATGGGCTTCCCTTTGCAAATTTTTTTTTCTGTCTTCTGCGCAGACCGATTCACCCTTCTCATGCCTGGGAAAATCTCAACGGGAAAATGCACATGAGACTGATGAGGAAGAGAAGGCAGTTACATTTGGCCTTTTCTTTGCTTATTCCCCAACATTCTTTCCTTTCTGTTAGAGGGAGTTGTTGTTATTTATGTGGCGTTGGTTAACATTTCCTATATATATAGGGTCCTGACTTTTAATATTTTCTATAGGAGTCTTTACAGTACAGCTAACAGTGCTTCTTCCCAAC